GGCGACGGACGCCCCGCCCAGCATGACCCGCCAGGAGGCTCACGGGGCGCAGGAAGGCAAAATATGGGGGGGGGTTAACCTCATAGCAAACTGGAGCCCCCACTGGATAACAGGGCTTCCAGTCTGCCATGACATCAGCCCCCCCATCTTTTACAGCTCAGGTGATACCCTTGTTCTCCGCTTCCCTGCCCCCCCTTTCTGGAAGCAGCTTGGCCCGACGACCCCAAAGGAGGGTCCGGGGGGCTGCATCTCTGGAGCAGTAAATCCGGGCTCAGATTCCTCTGCCCCAGCTGGAGGGAGGCGGCGGTGGAGAAAGGACGATGCCCCGCCACAGAGGGAAGCAGGCCCGCCACGGCGCAGTAAGGGCCACCGAAATCCACCTTGCGACTGCAAGCCCTCCACCCTGCCCAGCTAACGTCCGCCCCGTCGATCCCAACGGCTCCGTTCTAAGGATTCGGGATGCGGTCCGTGCCACACGCCTGCAAGACTCAAAAGCCGCCTGCAAAGGCCAGACGGGTCCTGTTTTTGTCAAATCAGCACGCGGGTAAAGATCAGCTCCCCGATGCCCGCCGGCGGTAGACCTCCTCCATCCTCAGCCTCAACGAGCGGATCGTCTTGAACTGGCACTCGGAAGCCCTCGCTGCAGAGCCGGAGTCCAGAAGCCCACACCAAGAGGCACGCTTGGTTCCCCCGGGCCCTGAGGTAGCCCTGCTGGGCCTGCCCGTTGCCTTGGGTCCACTGACCAGCATGCCCTTGCCAGTCAGGGCTTGTGGGCTTCTGGAGGGCAGGCGGGGAGGGGGGCTGCCCTTCTCCGCAGGAAGCCGGGTTAGGTTTTCCCAAGGAATCCTGGGCTCACCGCTTTGGAAACCGGGGGTCCTGCCTCTACCAGCACAGCTCGCCGACCCCCTCGCGACGGCTGCTTCCCAAGCCCTAAATGGAGATTTCCGTGCCTGCCCGGGAAGAGAAAGGGAGCCCTGTGCAAAGCCCACGGTTCATCTTGCTTGCCCGACAGTTCCCTTGCTGCCCGGATGCCAGGGCAGAGCCTGGCCTCAAAGCCACCCTGTTAAGGAGAGCGGGTCGGTCTTCCTGGGCCTGTGGATGGGTCACAGGTCACTAAAGCCGACAGCCGGCGCCTGAAATGACAAGGGGGTCAAAGCGGCCCAAAACAGGTGCCGTCCTCCGATGGACCCCCGAGGAGGCAGACTTGCTTACGGCGGTCCCACGCCTTTATAAACAGCCCAACGTCCTCCCTGTCTAGGTGACGCTTCCGGGAATTTCTTTCGCCTTCCCCAAAAGGCAGGTGGCAGATACAAGAAAGGGCTTCCCGCCTCTGGTTCAGAACTGAATTAATGCGCGCCTCCCCAAAATCTAATGGACTAGAGTTTTGTTTTTTTAATTCTCCCCCAAAAGAGCTAAGTTGGTTTCTGTTATACTTTAGCGGCCTGGGCAAAAAACCCGAACTGCACAGACAAGACAAAAGTGCCAAGAAGAAGAAGAAAAAAAAAAGTAAAGAAAACAATGTTCAAGTTTGATAACCCTGCAGTCTTTGCTGCAGTAGGAACGCGTTTAAAAACCATCAATTTAACTAAGTGGCTACAGTCAATTGAATAACCTAAAAAAGGAGGAGGAGGAGGAATAGTGTTATTACTGCAGACTTGGTAGATTATCCCAAATGCTGGAGCATAATTCGAGGGCAGAGGAAATGTTAATAGTTCTGTTTAATCACAGCTTGCAATAATTCATTTTATGTCTTATTATCCAGAGTGGTTGTGCAACACAAGGTTGCAGCGCGGAGGGCTGCAATCGGGATTCCAGCCACTCCCTTTCAGCTCTCGTCTGTCCTTTCCCATCCTCTCTGAAGTATTTCTGGGGTCCCTCTTTGGGAGCCCCCCCCAATTGGTTGGCATCCCCAATCTACTGATTTGGCACCTGCGGCTTCACCATGTCTCAACTGCCCCCCCACCCCGGATGAGGGGCAAGTGCATCTCCCGCCTTGCTGTCACGTGCTAGATGAATTTTCAAGGCTGGCGCGGTGCCCGATCTTGATATTTAAAATATTAACTTGAGACCCTGGATCGTCAATGGATCGGCTACTTCCCTCTGCAGGTGAGAAAAATGACTTTATAAAATAACTTTTTAAATAGGCATCCCTTTTCTGTGCTCCCTGCTCCCCCCCCCATAACCTATCATTAAATGGTTTGCAACCTCCTTTGAACAACTTTCGTCTTTACTCAAGGAGGAGAGAAGCTTGCCAAAACAACATGGAGGATTTTATCTATCGCTGTGTTGACCGTCCTGTCCAAAAGGGGACACGGTCAATGGACCAGACCTGCATTCTTCTCTTGCAACGAGGCAAAGTATGAAAAAGAAAATGAAATGCTCTGCCTCCTCCAGCAGGAACCCCCAGACAAAGGAGGGCTCCAGATTATTTTGCAATAAGGGGGCTCCCTAGTTATTTTGCAAAATGAGGAAGGAGAGAGAGAGAGAGGGTGCAAGGATATTCAAAAACAGAAAAAAAGACTCCGGGCAGAAAAGACTTGCGGGAAGAGGGCCCACCTAACCCCCTGGTTTTGCAAATCTGCTCCTCTGCAACATCTACCACTTCCTCTTGAAAACGTTTACCTTCTAAGGTCTTTTTATTTTAAGCGATGCTACGATAAGCAGGGCCAATGTAGATTTATGGGTGCCCACATCTAAGGACTGGGAGAAAACGAACAGGGGATGCCCAAAGGTGCCTTTTCTGGAACGTGGCACGGCTGGGATGATACCGATCAGAAATCCTCTGGCGCGAGGGGTCAGTGGCCGGCCGAGACTGCAAAAAACCAGTTGCCATGGCTATCGAGCGGCGGGTGCCCCTCCGCCGATTAGGCGTCGATGCTCCTCCGCGTACCCGCTGCGACATAATTTATGAGGTTCTCTGGTGTCCCTGCCACAATGTGTAAACAGGAGGTGGGGGGGGCTATAAATAACTGAGCAGGGGCTAGGATAAAGCAGGCCAGTGTTTGCATATGTGCGGCTCGCAGGCCCCGTATTTTATCTTCCGAAACAAATAGCGTGACAAGATACACAAAGCCATTATGTTCTGACTAACGGAGCTCAGATGGCACGTTTATCAAGGTGGCGAGCAGAATGCTGCGACGCCGGCCAGGGGTTCTGCGCTGTCGGAGAGGGGCAGCCAAGGACGCCAAGCGGGCCCGGCAGGTCGGGGCTGCGAGTGTGTGTCCGTGCGCTTTCGCGTGGTGCCATTTTGTTTGCTTCCTCCCGAGTTGCTCGATTTGGCGCAGCCCACGGCCGAAGCAAGGCAGACAGCAGCCGCTCTCTGCTGCCCTCCCCTGAGCTGGCGTGCCACGCTGAAGCCATAATATGATTGGGCTGGGCTGGGCTGAGAGGGTTGTGTGAACACGGCTACCGTGGCTTGTCGGCCAGACTTAGCCTCAAGCCTTCGGAAAGCTGGAGAAAGCTTTCCCTGCCGGGAGGGCCCTCAATCCATAACGCTGTGGCTCTTTTTAATCAGGGGGCAGCTTTAAGATCCGCTAATGGATTTTATTGTGACTGTTGGGGTTCCATTGCCCTACCTAGAACTGTATAAAAAGAAATGATTGGAGGAAATCCACGAACCGGCCCATCGGAACGACCGACTCAGCAAAGCACGGCGATCCGACCACTGCATTACCCG